TCTGCATAACACAGATTGTTAATAGATCTTCCACCAATCCTGATGCCACAATTCTCCTCATAGAGCCCCGCCTCTCAGATAATCTGCTCTGCATACAGGTTGAAAAGTTGTTCTCTAGCTAAGATAATTTCTGGAAGTCCAAAAGGATCTATTTCCCTTCACTTTCACCTGCACAGCTACATACTTCCTGTAAAGCTGACTCTACGCACCTGCAGGTATGAACAGAGTACAAGAGCCCAAATCCTGATCACCAACCAAAAGCATTTGTGATCAAGCCCCCACGTGAGTTCAGTTGAGGGGTGCTCGATCAACTCCAGAGTCCTAACTCTGCATAGTCAACATGATCTGAGTTTGCACAAAGTTCAAAGGTGTCTGTGGAATCCTAAAATGTTTGACGTGGAAGGCCCCTGACATCACATAGACTAAACCTTCCCTTTAATAGAATTTAGAGATTTTGGGCTGAAGGTGAGAGGCCGCTGAAAACACATCTAAACAAAGAGTGTTTTAGGAACAGAATGTGACTTGACATTCCACCACTGGACACACATCCAATTCACTGGATTCCCATTTGAATCACTCTCTTGCTGAAGTTGTTACTGGAAACAAGGCAGGTCTTTTTGCCCTGAATCCCCAGGAAAAGGCTCTCTTTCTGAAAGACAACAATGGTGAAGGATTTGCATGTCCTCTGAGAGCCGCAGCATTTTACTTCCCGGGTTTTTATCTCTACAGTATCTTGGAAGATGGTATGAAATTGAGAAGATCCCAACGACCTTTGAGAGCGGACGCTGCATCCAAGCCAACTACACGCTAAAGGAAAACGGAAACATCCAAGTGATAAACCAGGAGATCAGGTGAGTGACTGTGGTTTTAACTGTGGCACACAGCCCAGAACCAGCCTGCACAGCGCTGTCCCTGAGTGACTGATGGTGTGTGCACTTTCTGGGGACATGTTCACAGCAGGTCCTGAGCGCACTCAGGCTCAGGGGCAGGCAGGGCAGACTTAAATCCACTCTTTCACTTCCAAGACACTGACTGAGCACTTATGACTAAGGATGACAGGAGAAGAAAAGATGCCTTTGAGTTGTGGTGCTGGAGAAGAGTCTTAAACATACCATGGACTGCCAAGAAATCAAACAGGTCTGTCTTGCAGAGGGTGAAACCAAGTTTCTCCTTGGAGGCTAGGATTTTGCAGCTCCGTTTCACATATTCGGGGTATGTGGCCAGGAAAGACCAGTCCTTGGAGAAGGACATCATGCTTGGAAGGTTAGAGGGACAGCACAGGAGAGGAAGACCCCTGATGAGGTGGATTGATAGAGTAACTGGGGCAATGGAGGTTGTTGTGTCATAAATAGTGAGATTGGCTCAGGACAGGGCAGGCTTCAGAGCTGCTGTACATAGATAGGGTCACTAAAGGGAACAGGCAACTCGACAGCACATAACAACAACAAAGAGAAGCTCTTCTATAACATCTTCTAAAAGATGGGCACCCAGTCTTGAATATTTCCTGGAAAAGGGAACTTACTGCTTCAGAAAACTCTTCTGCCAAGCAAGAATTAATACATTCATAGTCACACTCTAAGGTCTGTGAGCTTATATCTACTGGAGCATATATTTCTATTACAGGAGATTTCTAACATTGATATTTGATCCAAAAATATAAACTTTTAAAAGTGAACATGAGGGAAGGGTGGGTAAAGGAAATGGGAAAGATCAGGTATGAAAAACAATGTCTATGAACTTCCTAAGTAAACCAGTATAAAAGAAAAAATTTATTTTTAAAAAAACCCCAAACAAACAACAATTAAAAAAGTGAACATGAGCCCCCAGTAAGAACTCTTACAAACCTCCAGTAAACAAAGATAACAACAATTAAAAAGTAACTAATATTTATTAAGCATTTCCAATGTGTATATACACATAAACATACCAACAGAGATGCACAAAGCTTACATACATAACAACAACATATATACACAACAAATATAAATATATATTTATATATCAGTCACATAAAGGAGTTCTGGTAGCATTACGTGTTACGCTGCTAACTGAAAGTCAGTGGTTTGAATCCACCAGCTGCTCCTCAGGAGAAATGCGGGCATTCTCCTCCAGTGAAGATTTATAGCTTCAGAAACCCAATGAAGGGCTGCTATGGGTAAGAATCAACTGAGGACAGTTGTTTTGTATTGCTGTTGTTATGTGCTGCCAAGTTGGAACCAACTCATAACTGACTCTCCAGTGTCTATAAATTGCACAAGAGAAGGAGGAGTTCCCTCCTGTGCAATTTAAAGCCTTTGAAAATCTACTGGAAGGGGGGACAGTTATGAGTCATTTCCATCACTACAGCATATAACAATGAGAAATCTCACTGGGAGAAATTGCTCATCTTTCTCCTGTAAAACAACCAATAGATTCAAGCCGTGTGCCTTTGGGTTGGCAGTACAACTCCTTACTGTTAGGCCACCAGAGCTCCCTGGTGGTGGTTGTTGTGGAGCATCGTCTAGTCTGAACTGACCCATACCTGACCCTCCAGTTGGCTTTCAGAGACAGTTAAACACATGGGAGGAGATTGCCCATCCTTCTCCAATGAAGCAGCAGTTGGCCTCGAACTGCCTGCCTTTGGGATTGCAACACTGCTTCTTGCCACTAGGGCACCAGATCTCCCTCTAGACCCCGCCAGGCCACCAGAACTTACACACACACACACACACACACCCTGTTGTTGTTGATGATGTTGTTAGGTGTCATTGAATCAACTCCAGCTCATAGATACCCTGTGTTCAATAGACCTTGCCCAATTTTGTGCCTTTCTCCCAAGCTCTGCCCTGCTGAAGCCATGCTTGCAGTTGCTGTGTCAGTCCGTCTCATTGAATCTTTCTATCTTGCCAAGCATGGTGTCTTTTTCCAGAGTCCAGCCCTTCTTGACAACATGCCCAAAGTATATGTGGTGAAAACTCAGTATCCTTGCTTCCAAGGAGCATTATGGCCACACTTCTTCCAAGAAAGATTTATTTATTCTTTCGGCAGTCCACAACATATTCAATAATACTCTTGGTCAACACTGGGGTTCAAAGACATCAATTATATTTAGTTCTTCTTTATTCATTGCTCAACTTTCACATGAATATAAAATCAATTCTAGATATCATGTCTTCGATTGGAGATCCTTGAGTTGACATTCTTGCTCTTTAGTGCTTTGAAGAGGTCCTTGACAGTAGACCGTTACTCCTTGAGTGTTGATTGTGGATACAAGTAAAACAAAATCCATAACTACTCCACTCTTTTCTCCATCCAATCTTAATCTTTATCTCCACCTATCACGAAGTAGCTTATGTTGTTGTTGTTGTTGTTGTTGTTGTTGTT